TCCTTATATTGTCTCACAAAAACCAGCATGGTCTGGTCCCCTTACTTTTATGACCATGGCTTCTACTATTCACCCTTAATCACTGTGTTTCAGTACCTCCTTAATATTCCTCAAAGCCAGCTGGCATCCTCCTGTCCCCGGGCCTTTGCACAGGCTCTTCAACTGGCCAGATTATTTGCCTTCCATAAGCCACAAGTATGCTTCTATCACCTCCTTCATGATTCCACAAAAAAGTCAGCTTCATATTGAGGACTATACAGACAACCTCATACAAAATACCAAACAACCTACCTCAAACTGCTATTGCTCTAATCTGCATCCATTCTTTTATCAGTCATACTCATTATTTTTGAATATACTGTATAATTTACTTTTAATTTTATTGTACCTTCCCATGAGGACAAGGGTTTTTCTGTGTTGCTCAGTATTTAATTAATTTGAATAAACAGTATAAACAAATACATGACTGAATTCCAATATCTATATTGTAAAGTGCTGGAGGCCTAGAAGATTACCTCATGTCTCTCATATTTCACCATTATAAATAATAATAATAAAAAGTAACATATCTTGAGCCTTGTTATGTGCCAACATTGCTCTAAGTCCCTTACATATATTAACTGCAACCACTGATGGCAAAAAGCAACTGCTGAAAAATAGAGAATGTTTCCTCTACTTTCCAGATGAAGAAACAAGCACAAAGGCAGAGTTTAATTTTTGTTACTTCAAAAAATCTGATTTAACAATTTAGTTTACTTTGAATTAGAGTGGATAGAGGTTGAGTATCCCTCATCTAAAATGTTTGAGATCAGAAGTGTTTTAAATTTTGAATTTTTTTTTTATTTTTAAAATAGTCGCACTATACTTCTGGTTGAGAATCACAAATCTGAAAATCTCAAATTATGTCATATCACCTTCAGGTTAACACTAAAAAGTTTTGAATTTTGGAGCATTTTGGATTTTCAGGTTTGGGGTACTCAACTGATTATATTATTTTAATTATTTTGATTGACGCATACTAACTGTACATATTTATGAGGTACAGTGTGAAGTTTAAATACATGTATTCAATGTGTAATGATCAAAGTAGGGTAATTAGCATATCCATCACCTAAGATAGTTTTCAATTCTTTGTAGTAAGAATATTCAAAATCCTCTCTTCTAGCCATTTCAAAATATGAAATAGATTATTAACTGCAGTCATCCTACTGTGCAATGCACCACTGGTACTTATTTTTCCTATCTAACTATAATTTTGCACCCATTGGCAAATCTCTCCCCATCTCCTGACAATTCTGAACCTCTAATAACCACTATTTAACTCTTATTCTTATGAGATCAACTATTTAGACGCCACATATGAATGAGATTATGTGATATTTGTCTTTTAGTGCCAGACTTATTTTACTTAACATAATGTCCTCCAGGCTCATCCATGTTGCTACAAATGACATAATTTCATTCTTTTTATAGGTAAATAATATTCCATTGTATAAATATATCACATCCTCTTTATCCACTTGTCCATTGCTAGACTCTTAGGTTGATTTCCTATCTTAGCTAGTTTCCATAATGCTGCAAGAAACAAGAGTGTGTAGATATTACTTTGACAAACTAATTTTATTTCCTTTAAATATATACCCAACAGTGGGGTTGCTACATAATATGGTTGTTCTATTTTGAATTTGTTGAGAAACTTTCATACTGTTTTCCATAATGGTAAATTATATTAGTACATCCATGACTAATCTGAATTCAGGTTCTTTGATCATATATGAGAGTATATGCCGTATATAAGTCTTCCTTTCTCTACATCCTCAGCAGCATTTGTTATCATTCTGTCTTTTTAATTTCAGCATATTATTGGGGTACAAATGTTAAGGTTACATATATTGCCCTTGTCCCCCCTCCCTCCTTGAGTTAGGGCTTCAAGAGTGTCTATCCCCCAGATGGTGCACATCACACTCACTATGTATGTATATACCCAAGCTCTCCTCCCCCTCCCACCTGCCCGACACTTGATAAATATTATTCTTATATGTCCACTGAGGTGTTGCTCAGTCAGTGAAACCAATTTGCTGGTGAGTACATGTGGTGCTTATTTTTCCATTCTTGGGACACGTCACTTAATAGAATGGGTTCCAGCTCTATCCAGGAAAATACAAGAGGAGCTATATCTCTGTTGTTTCTTTTTTTTGTTGTTGTTTTTTTTTTTTTTTTTGAGACAGAGTCTCGCTTTGTTGTCCAGGCTAGAGTGAGTGCCGTGGCGTCAGCCTAGCTCACAGCAACCTCAAACTCCTGGGCTCGAGTGATCCTTCTGCCTCAGCCTCCCGAGTAGCTGGGACTACAGGCATGTGCCACCATGCCCGGCTAATTTTATATATATATATCAGTTGGCCAATTAATTTCTTTCTATTTATAGTAGAGACGGGGTCTCGCTCTTGCTCAGGCTGGTTTTGAACTCCTGACCTTGAGCAATCCGCCCGCCTCGGCCTCCCAAGAGCTAGGATTACAGGCGTGAGCCACAGCGCCCGACCTTCTGTTGTTTCTTATAGCTGAATAGTACTCCATGGTATACATACCACATTTTATTAATCCACTCATGTATTGAAGGGCATTTCAGTTGTTTCCACATCTTTGCAATTGCAAATTGTGCTGCTATAAACATTTGAGTGCAGGTATCTTTTTTATAGTGTCCTTTGTTTTTCTGGGTAAATGTCCAGTAATGGGATTGCTGGATCAAATGGTGGATCCACTTGTATTGCTTTAAGGTATCTCCATATTGCTCTCCACAGAGGTAGAACTAGTTTGCAGTCCAACCAGCAATGTAGGAGTGTTCCTATCTCTCCACATCCACGCCAGCATTTATTATTTTGGGATTTGTTACTAAAGGTCATTCTCACTGGAGATAACTGATATCTCATTGTGATTTTGATTTACATTTCCCTGATGATTAGAGAAGTTGAGCATTTTTTTGTATGTTTATTGGCCATTATTCTGTCTTCTTTGGAAAGTTTCTGTTCATGTCCTTTGCCCACTTTTTGATTGGGTTGTTTGATTTTCCTTGATGATTTTCCTGAGTTCTAAATAGATTCTAGCTTCCAGCCCTTTATCGAATGTGTAGCTTGCAAAAATTTTCTCCCATTCTGTGGGTTGTCTGTTTGTTCTATTGACAGTTTCTTTGGCTGTGCAGAAGCTTTTTAATTTGATCAGGTCCCATTTACTTATTTTTGTTGATGCTGTGATTGCCATTGGAGTCTTCTTCATAAATTCTTTAGCTAGGCCAATGTCTATAAGAGTATTTCCAACATTTTCCTTTAGAATTCTAATAGTTTCACACCTTAGGTTTAAGTCTGTTACTCAGTGTGAGCTGATTTTTGTGAAAGGTGAAAGGTGTGGATCCTGTTTCAGTCTTCTACATGTGGCTATGCAGTTTTACCAGCACCATTTATTGAATAAGGATTATTTTCCTCAGTGTATGTTTTTGTTTGCTTTGTCAAAAGATGGCTATATGAGGATGGTTTTATATCTGGGTTCTCTGTTCTGTTCCACTGGTCAATGTCCCTGTTCTTGTGCCAGTCTAAAGCTGTTTTAATTACTATAGCCTTGTATTGTAGTTTGAAATCTGGTAAATTGATACCTCCCATTTTGTTTTTATTGCCTAGGATTGCTTTTGCTATACAGGGTCTTCTTGAATTCCATATGAAACTTAAAATTATTTTTTTAGATCTGTGAAAAATGATGATGGTATTTTAATAGGGATTGCATTTACTCTGTAGATCACTTTGGGTAGTATAGACAGACCAATATCAAGTACTGAAATTGAAACAGCAATAAAAAACCTTTCTAAAAAAGAAAAGCCCTGGGCCAGATGGTTAGACACCTGAGTTTTACCACATCTACAAAGAAGATCTGGTGCCTATCCTGCAGAAATTATTCCACAACATTGAGAAGGATGGATCATCCTGAACACATTTTATAAAGCCAACATAACCCTGATACCAAAACCAGGAAATGATGCAACAAAAAAGAAAACTACAGACCAATATCACTTATGAATATAGACACAAAAATTTTCATCAAAATCCTAGCTAACCAAATCCAGGTGCTTTTCAAGAAAATAATCCATCACAACCAAGTGGGCTTCATCCCAAAGATGCAGGAATGGTTCAACATACACAAATCTATAAATGTAACTCACCACATAAACAGAAGCAAAAACAAAGACCATATGATTCTCTCAATAGATGCAGAAAAAGCATTTGACAAAATTCAACACCCTCTTATGATAAGAATGCTTAACAAAATAGGCATAGACGGGGCTTACCTAAATATTATACAAGCCATATATGACAAAACCACAGCCAACATCATACTGAATGGGGAAAAATTGAGAGCATTCCCCCTTAGAACTGGAACAAGGCAAGGTTTCCCACTATCTCCACTTCCATTCCACATAGTTTGGGAAGTCCTTGCTGTAGCAATCAGACAAGAGAGCAAAATTAAGGGCATCCAAATGGGAGCAGAAGAGATCAAACTCTCACTCTTTGCTGATAATATGAAATTATAGCTAGAAAACCCCAAGGATTCAACCAAGAGACTCCTTGAATTGATAAATGAATTCAGTAAAGTCTCAGGGTACAAAATCAGTACACACAAATCAGAGGCATTCATATACACCAATAACAGTCAAAGTGAGAACCAAATCAAAGACTCAAGTCCCTTCAAATTAGCAACAAAGAAAATAAAGTACCTAGGAATATATTTAACTAAGGAGGTAAAAGACCTCTACAGGGAGAACTATGAAACACTGAAGAAGGAAATAGCAGAGGATATAAACAGGTGGAAGACTATACCATGCTCGTGGGGCAGCAGAATCAACATTGTTAAAATGTCTATTTTTCTGTCTTATTGATAATAGCCATTCTAACAGAGCCAAAATAATATCTCATTGTGGTTTCAATTTGAATTTCCCTGATGTTGAACATTTTTTCACATACCTGTAAGTCCTTGAACTATGACACTATTAGAAGATTATAGCAATTTTAGATCCTGGAGTTTTCTTCATCTGAAAAATAGAGGAAGCATTTAATGATATTAGTCTGGGCAAGGATTTTTTGGATAAGACCACAAAAGCACAGGAAACAAACAAACAAAATAGACAAATGGTATTACATCAAGTTTAAATGGTTCTGCACAGCACAAAGAAAAAAAAATCAACTGAGTGAAGAGAAAACCTACAGAATGGGAGAAAATATTCACAAACCATGCATATGAAAAGAGGTTAATATCCAGAATATATAAAGACCTCAAACAGCTTAATGGCAAAAGAAACAACAAAAACATCCTGTTAAAAATGGGCATAAGATCACAAATAGACATTTCTTAAAGTTAATTACTTTTACAGGTAAATATTTGGGGGAATTTTTCCTGTGATAAATTTTTTAAAAATATATAAAATTTCCTTCTTAATTTTCTTTTTTGGTGAAAAATTAGAATGCTCAATGAATTAAAGTATATATAAGAACTGGGAATTTGTATATCATAGATTATAGGTTCTTTCCTAGATGAAAGTCAATTTGAGAGCAATGGAAACAGGTAATTTGATCTAGAAGCTGAGGTTGTTTTTCTTTTTTTAATTTAGTTTATAAATAAATGTGAAATAAAAAGTAAATTGTGCTTACCTCTGAATAAAAAAAAAACAACGTCTTTTGGCTATCCTTATACTCCACATAATTTTTAAAAAGAAAAAAATGAATTCTGAAAAATTCATAAATAAAAGAAGCATTGATGTAGGTTTAGGACATAGTAAATAGCATAGCTTATCCTGACAGTCATAGATAATAAGAATAATGGTGAAAATCTCCATTTGGTGGGCAACTCCAAAGTTCCAGATACAATGCCAGATACTGTACTAGAAACTCATTCATTCAATCAGTAAATGTTAAATCATTTCCAGCTACCACTCAATTTGCTGTGGATAAAATAAATGAAATCTCAGCCTTCACTGAGCTTATATTCTAGGAGGAAGACAAAATAAATACAATAAATCAACAAAATATATAGAATCTATCTTAGCTCTACTCTTCTGGAAAGCAGAGGAATTATTAAATGGAATTGTGCAAATTGCCCCACCGAAAAATATTCTCTTATATAAATATGTAAGATAGATGAGTTATCTGTGAGATGTACACTATATGAAAATATTTTACATGTTTAAATAACTTTGAGGGAAATCTATTGTTTATTGAAGGCTTTCAGTGCTTTATTATGTCTTGGAGTAAGTAAATATGTCTAACTTTGTGTAATGCAACAACAACCGAAATCTCAAAACTCCTGTCTTTTCTTCCCACAGAAAACCTATCCATGTTCTTCAGAGACAGTGCTCTGAAAAACTCACTTTAGGAAATGCAGGTTTGTCTATGCAAAATCATATGACAGAATTTAAAATGGACCAATCTGTTTTACATAAAAATCAACACAAATACAGCTATCATGCATTCAGTCAGATTCTAGCCCTGGCTATGGTTTATCTGTAATTCATAAAGAGAGTGTTTGATAATACATGAGCATGTAAAATCTCCCACACATGTATTTTCAGATTCCTCCTTTGTGTAACTAGTGGTGATCTCTTCAAAGGAAATAATAGAGAATGTAAGCTTCCCAAAAGAATAAATTTCAACTAGTGGCTGTGGTATGTGATTGACAAAAGCCAGCCTTTGTCATTTGAACATTTTCTAGAAGGCATATTTTTCTCCTATAATCCATATAGAAAGTCCTTGTGTTTCTACACATTAAGATAACCAAAGAATGTATGAATAATTTTCAGACACCATAGCCTCGGCTTAAATAACTATGCAGATCTTGAAAGAAGCCTTTCTTCTTCAAAACATAAAATTAATCAGTTTATTGCAAAATGTGCTGTAGTTGACAGTTGTGTACAAACTATCAAAGGAAAGAATACCTGGATTTTGGGACATAATTGCATTTATAACAGGAAGGTGCTATAATAATGTAGTAACAACAATGGATTTGAAGTTAGGGAACCTGAGTTCAGATTCTAGCCCTGCCAAATATTAGCCGAACAAACTTGGACAATGTCTCAGGACTTCAATTTTTCTAATCAGCAGGATGGAGCTGAAAAACTAATAGCAATGTGTCTATATTATGTTTAGAATTAAGAAGAAGAAGGTATTTGAGAAAAAGGTGTCAACTCTAAAGTATCATACAAATTGCACTGTTTATTGTATTTTATTCATTTTATTAATTGAAGTGAGAAATATTAAGGTTAATTATTTAAAAATTACACATTTTACACCAGGAAAATATGTCTTCTCATTCTAACTGTTTAACCATATCATTGATTTGAATCTGCTGGGTAAATCATATTATTTCAATCAAAAATAAAATGTGTTAGAGTCTTTTGCATTTTACCAAATGAATAATTATTTTAAAAAGCTGTTTATTTCTCCTGTTTATAAATTGGAAAGAGAGAAACAGTGAAAGATCATTAAAAACCATTCAGGTAGAAAATGTATATGTTTCTGCTAAGCCTGCCAACATCCAAATGTGGATTAATAACTTGACAAATACAGGTAAAATAATAGTACAGAATATCTTAAACGATGTGAGGATAATTGTCCTATTATATAAGTATCATTTTCAATCATTAGGGGGTTTATTACTCATGTTTCAAGTATATATATATATATATATATATATGTATATATATATATATATATTATGACTATATTGCCAGGTTGTCCTAGTGGGAAAGGACTTCATGTGAAAAGCAAAGTGGGGGTCTAAAATCACAGAAAGATTGGAAATAGGGAAGACATCTAATCTAATTAATTCATAATTAAAAGTAGAAATTTGTGGTGATTCACAAAGATGCCAGTATCTTTTTGTTTGAGATTTTCTGTTAACCAAAGCCATGTAACATAATTTCATGTCCTTTCTAGAGTCTTCATGTTATAAAGAATGCACTTTGGGTTTTCTTTTTTTTAATTCCAGAATATCACAGGCGGACAACGTTTTGGTTACATAAATTGCTTTTTTCAAGGTTATAAGTATGCCATCCCCCAGATAGTGTGCATTGTACCGGTTAAGTGTGAATTTACCCATCCCGCATACCCCCTCCCACCTGCTTGATTTCCAATGAATGTTATTTCCATATGTGCACACAAGTGTTGATTGATTAGTTCCAATTTAATGGTGAGTACATGTGGTGCTTGTTCCCCATTCTTGTGATATTTCACTTAAAAGAATGGGCTCTAGTTCCATCCAGGTGAATAAAGAGGTATTAGCTCACCATTTTTTATTATGTCTGAGCAGTACTCCATGGTATACATATATCACATTTTATTAATCTACTCATGTATTGATAGGCACTTGGGTTGTTTCCACCTCTTTGAAATCGTGAATTGTGCTGCTATAAACATTTGAGTGCAGGTGTCTTTTTTATAGAATGTCTTTTATTTTTTTTTTTTCCTTTGGGTAAATATCCAGTGGTGGGATTGCTGGATCCAAAAGTAGGTCTACTTTTAGTTCTTTGAGGTATCTCCATACTACTTTCCTCAGAGGTTGTACTAGTTTGTTATTGTGAAAGGTATTGAGTCTTTGATTTGATTTTCAGTCTGACTGTTGGTGTATATGAATGCTACTGATTTACGTACACTGATTTTATAGCCTGAGACTTTGCTGAATCTACTTATCAATGTCAGAAGTCTCTTGATGTTATCTTAGGTGTTTTCTAGATATAAGATCATTGTCATCAGCAATGAGCTATAGTTTGACCTCTTTTTTCCCCCTTTGGATATCCTTGGAGATAGACTGCCCTGTTTAAAATACTAGCTCTACTGGTTTGGTGACCTTGAATTTGCCCATGCCTCAGTTTACTCATAAAGAAAAACAGAGTAAATAGCAGTAGTTATCTCAGAATAAGAGGATTTAATAAGAAGAGAGGAATAAATGAGATGCTACTAACCACTTAATGCTAGCTATCATTATTTAAGAGTAAAGTTAAGTTTTATGTAGCAATTCAGTAGAAGCATGGTAGAGAAAGCCAGGTTGCTGTAAGATTATGAAGTGTTTTTAATGTATTGCTAAAGAGCTTATATTTTATATTTTTCCCCAGAATTTGCCATACTGTGTTTTCCTGAACAATGGATATTAAGTTTTACTATAAAAATACACATGTTACAAAAATACCTTTGTAATGGTGAGGTTGCAGATCATTAATATTTTTCACTTATATAGATCTAGTTTATTTCAAGGAAAAAATGTCATGAAGAAAGGATATTTAACAGCAATGAATAAATGTAATAAAAAACCTTGTTCAAAACTTAATCCCCCTTGCTCTACCATATCTTGTAATTAGAGCTCTGTTTGTAAAAAGGAAGAGTTTGTCAGTTAACAGTATAGGCACTAAAGCCAGACATAGAGAGGGATCACATACCAGCTAGGTTGTATTGTCCTTGTCAGCAGCTTTAAGTTAGCTTATATCTCAATTTCAAACTTTTCTTTCTATGACCATAACTTTCTAGCATATTATTCTACCTTATTCTATTCTATGATTCATTGATTTCTTTAATCTCAGCCAATTTACTAGCCTGGTTCCTTCTTTTTCCCTTTATAAAGCCAACTGCATGTACTTTTTGCTCTTTTATTCTGCTATTACATCTTATACATCTTAGGCTAAGATAAATTCAACTGATGATGTTTTCTTTTCTGAAATCCTGGCTGCAAGAAAACAAAAACATAGAACTACACATGTTAGTACCAATACAACTTCATGATCTCAACTTCTACTGGTTCTTTGATATGGCTTGTCTCCTTTATCAATACTCATATTTCATACTTTTTGTGCTCTTCTCAAATCCCTGTATCATCACTTCACTTCCACCCTTTTAGCAGATGATCAAATGAAATGGGAAATTACAGAACTTATATGCATAGACTATTCCCATGCTTGTCTCTCCCTTGTCATTTCCACATATTTTTTAAGGCTACTACATTTATCTACAATGTACACCTTATATCACTGCTACTCTTCCTTCAGTACTAAAGTTAGATAATATCTACTTGGGAATGTACTAAGTTTAAAACAATTGTCCCAATTTTGAACTTTTATAATATCCTGCTCTGATGGGAAACTTGTCAAAGAACTGCTCATTGTATGCATGTGTCTCTGCTCCCCCCCCCCCGCCAAAAAAATTATATTTGCCTTAGGGTAAGAATTATGGTTTTATTTATCTTTTCCTCCCTGGTGCTTACTATAATACTTGCCACCACATGCTAGATACTCAAGAATTATTTATTGAATGAGGGAATGAATAAATTTTGCTTTGTCAAGAGTCTCAATGCTACTATATCTAAGACAAGCTAAATGCTGTGACTATTTCTTATAAACAATGTTTTGCTCCTTCTCTTTCTTCAGAGTGTTCTCTAAATCCTTGCTATATACAGTGTGGTCTTCACCACAGTGCTGAAATTACCAGGGAGCTTGTTAGAAATGGGGAACACCAGCCTCCACCCCATATGTATTGACTATAAATCTGCATTTTAACAGCAGTGATTCATATACACATTAAATATTGAAAAATATTGCTCCAAAATATATTTGAAAATTGAATGCCCATTAAACAGGAAGCTTATGAGAAAGGTGAATCAAGGAAACCAAAACAGAGACTGAGAGACCATTATTCAACAAACATTATTCTAAGATATCAGTACCCTTCATTAAATCTTTTAAGCAACAGATATTTCCCAGAACTAATCATGTGCTAGAAACTCAGTGCTATGCACTGAGTTAAGAACTAGGATAGAGAATGGAATAAAGCAGAGTTTGGAAATTCACAATGTAGTATCCTCTTCCTTTTTATTTAAAATCTCACCAGGTGTTTAAAACTGTAGTAGAGGAGTCATAGTTAAATTAATTGGCTAAAAATAGGCTTTTAAATTTGAATATTAATAATTAAAAGTGGCAGAGAAAGAAGGGGAGAGAGAGAAGAGACCATTTTGTAACATTAGGTATGATGCTTAATTTTATGTGTTAACACACTAAGCCATGGGGTGCCCAGATATTTGGTTAAACCTTATTCTGGATGTGTCTGTAAGGGTATTTCTAGATAAAATTAACATGTGAATTGCTGGACCCAGTAAAGCAGATTGCCCTCCCCAATGTGGGTAGGCCTTATTTAATCCATTAGATGCCTGAATAGAACAAAAAAGGCTGAATAAGGGAGAATTATTTGCTCTCTCTCCCTGACTCTTCAGGCTGGGACATTGGTCTTCTCCTGCCCCAGGACTCAAACTCGGATTAGAACTTACACCATCAATTTTCTTGGTTCTTAGTACTTCTGACTTGACCTGGAAATGGAACATCAGTTTTCCTGGATCTCTAGCTTGTCACTGTCAAATGTAGATCATGAGATTTCTCAGCTACCCTAACCATATGAGCCATTATGTTATTTTGTGTGTGTGTGTGTGTGTGTGTGTGTGTGTGTGTGTGTGTGTGTATAAACTTTCTCCCTCTATCCTCTTTCTCTCTATCTCTCTATAGATAGAGAGGTTCTGTGTCTCTGGAAAAGCCAGAGTAATCCACCAAGTAAGCATGGTTACATTGTTTTCATGGAGAATTTTTGTCTGGATTATAATCAAAATGAAATTAAAATACTAGGATAATTGCTTTTGAGTTCTTTCTCACTTACCATGAATCACAGCAATAAAATCAATTTATGGTGAGCTTGACAAAGAAGAATTTACATTCATGGAAACCAGATTGATCACACTTATATAAACAGTGTAAATCTGCATTGTCTAATATTGTAGCCACTAGCCATATGTGACCATCTAGATTTATATTTAAATAATATTAAAAATTCAGTTCCTCAGTCATACAACATATATTTTCATTGCTTAATATCTGCAGGTGGCTAGTAGCTGTCATATTGAACAGTGCTGATATATAGGCACACCTTATTTTATTGAGCTTTACTTTAATATATTTTGCAGATATTGCATTTTTTTTACATATTGAAGGTTTGTGGTATCCCTGTGTTGAACAAGTCTACCAGTGCCATTTTTCTAAGAGCACGTACTCCCTTGGTGTCTCTGTGTTACATTTTGGTAACTTATGCACTATTTTAACCTTTTTCGTTATTATTATATTTGATATGGTGATTTCTGATCAGTAATCCTTGATGTTATTATTGCAATTGTTTTGGGGTGCCATGAAGGGAGCCATATAAGACAGTGAACTGAATGGATAAATGTTTTGTGTATTCTGAATGCTTCGCCAATTGATCATTCCCATTTCTCTCCCTCTTCTTAGGCCTTCCTATTCCCTCAGAAACAATAATATTAAAATTGGGCCAATTAATCTTACAATGGCCTCTAAGTGTTAAAGTGCAAAGAAGAGTCCTATGTTTTTCACTTTAAATCAAAACCTAGAAATGATTAAGTTCGGTGCTTCTTATGGATGAGCAAAGAAAATGATTTTTAAAGATAGATTCTACTCCTGGTGAAGATGCTGTGAACACTTTTGAAATGACAACAAAGGATGTAGAAGAGTACATAAACTTAGTTAATGTGGTAGTGGCAAGTTTTGAGAGGATTGACTTCAAGTGGAAAGAAGTTCTAATGTGAGCAAAATGCTATCAAATAGCATTGCATGCTGTAGAGATCTTTCGTGTAAGGAAGAATGGATGTGAGAAACTTCATTGGTCTCTTATTTTAAGAAATTGCCACAGCCACTCCAACTTTCAGCAATGAATATCCTGATTAGTGAGCACCCATCAACATTGAGGCAAGACCCACTGCCAGCAAAAATGTTACAACTTGCTAAAGGCTCAGGTGATCATTATCATTTTTTAGCAATAAAATATTTTTAAAGATAGTATACACATTTTTAGACATAATGCTATTGCACACTTAATAGACTCCAGTATAGTATAAATGTAATTTTTAATGCACTGGGAAACCAAAAAAATTGTATGACTCACTTTATTGCAATATTCAGTTTATTGTGATGGCCTGGAATAAAACCCACAATATCTCTGAGGTATGCTCATAGAACACTTCCATCGCTGAAGAAAACTATGTTGAACAGTGCTGTTCTAAATCATCAATGGGAGCTGTGGGCACCAATAACTTTCTTTGAAAATGTGGTAAGGTTTAAAATCTGAATAATAATGATATAAGTTCCTCTAATGTTGTCTTGGTATGTCTATATAGAAAAAGTGAAATATCTCCAATTGTTTTTGGTTTGAAATGTGAACAATGTATGTCAGTGGTATAATCTAAATAGAACTGCTTCTCAGTGTTCCAGTTATTCCTTACCAATTGCCAATATATTCATAATACTTTTTTCCCACTATTCTATCACAAGTGAAGAAAAGAGTAAGTAATAGAATTTTATATATGACAATACATACCGATTATCAAGAATTCTTGATTTTTTAAAGAATTCTTTCAGCAGGATGAGTTTTTGCCCTTTAATAATAATGATCCTTTTATTTTAATGATGCAAACCTCAATGTCATTTCTGTCTAATCTTTTTTTCCTCCAGTAATGTAAATATTAAATAATGTCCACTTCAAGCTTCAAGGCTTACAAAGTAAATTATAGAATCTGGGCAAAGGAAAAACAAAGGCTAAATTGTATAATTAATTATAATTAGGGGAGGGAAGTTTCAGAGACCTTTTCTTAACTATAGGTTAAAAAGGTTAAATTTGTCCTAAATATTAGACTACATGAACAAAAATCATATATGGACTCTTTTAAACTTCCTTTATAAATGTTTTCCTACAGTGATATTTTTGACAAATTCTAATGTTTTACTCAGAAACACTAAAGGAAACAAGGAGAGATGCTTCCTAAATGAAGGCTAGTTTATTTGTCGGCACAATGATGATTAATCATGATAAGTCTACTTTAAAAAAGTGCAAAGGCTATTAAATAGAAGTACATTTCTTCTTTCCTTTTAAGTAAGAATGGAAAGATGTCAACAATCTCTAATTCATTACATTTCTGAGGTATCATTGTTAACAATTTCTTCACAGTTTCTATACCCAAATACTATTTTTCCATTGCAATTTTTAAGAATTTTTCCTTGTAAATTTTAGACAACAAGCTTTCCACTTATCTATTATACAAAACACAGCTATAATTCTTAAAGCCATTCATTACAGATTTATGATCACTGGTTTCTATTTGTCTAGACACTTAAATACCCCTGCCTTCTTCTGCTGCATTTTTCAAGAACTCATTACATTTCTTTTATTTGTTTGGCACATTGATCTCAGTTTTGGTCCCCACTTTCAGGTTCTGCCCTTTTATTACCCAATCTAGCTAAAGCAGAAGGGAGACTGACAACTTTCATTTAACTGTCAGGTCCTCCTGGGGTCCCCTAGCTGCAGTAAAATGACTCTACATTGTATTTAATGAACCATGAAGATAGTGAGACCAATAAAAAAAGTTTTCATGCCCTTAGAGCAAGACGCTGGTCTCATCTTCTATTAAAGCTGTTTAACAGCCCACAACAACTGCCAGACATGGGGAAAAGGTGAAATGGCGATGTAACTGAGCTACTCACCTCCCATAATGAAGCATCTGTTCAAAAAATATAGTGCTCTCTCCTCCCAAGGAACTCACAAGGCAAAGGTGAACCAAGTAGTAAAGTAGACTCAATTAAACAATATGTGTTCTAATTGCAATAAGAGGGAAAGGTAGGTTAGAAAGAAATAGGAAAATGACAGGAGCTATTTCAGCAATTTAAATATTGTTCGTTAGTGAGAATGAAAGGAAGTACACAGCCTACCTACTGCTGCAACAATTAAGTTCCATGCAATTTGGCAAGAATAATATTAAGCAGTAGATGAATTTTTTGTTTAGTTTGCAAACACAATAAAATTCCTGTATCGTTTCTACATAATGCTGGAATTTGACCTCTCTCCTAGGAGTTGTTTCTCCTCCCTATGTTTGGACACATCAGCTATTAGTTTACAGGAAAGAGAGGAACAATTAGTGTGAAAGCAGTTAGCATGGTTGTGCTTTATAAACACAGATACACTCTTTCCCCAGGAAGACTTTCAACATATCAAATTCTCTTTCATTTTTCATGGTTTTATTAGTTCATCTTAAAGCTAAAATAAAGAGTTTAGTGATTTTCTTACACAATAAATGAAAGGAAAAAATAATGTATGTTCAATTTATATCTACATATGTTTAATTAAATAAACCAGTAGCTGATAACCAGTAACTGTACAGTATCCATACCTCTATACACATTGTAACCTTGGCTAACCCCCGTACTTAAATTTTCATACTTGTATGTAAGCTTGATTCTTTGGATTATGAAAGTGTGTTTCCAGAAGGTGCCTATTAAAATGCTGCTGGTTTCAGGGGCTTTTACTCATTAATTTAAGATATCAGCAAACATGGGTACTGTCCAGAACTTAAATTTCAGAAAAGTATGGGAGATAATGCTTAGGAAAAAAGAGGTAGGAAACAGAAAGAGGATGGAAGTAGGCCACCACAGGCTTGCTACTGAAAGGCTGGATAGATTTCTGATCATAACTGACCTGTTAGCTGAGTGCCTGAACCAGGTAAAAATGGACAAAATCTAGAACCAGATGCAGTGACCCTATGTTAAGGGTGTGGTTTAGAGCCTGAAGTGCTTCACCATAGGCTAAATCCAAGTGGAAGCGCTGTGAATGAGGTTGCTAGGATGTCAGACCTTCCTCACAACAGAGCAGTGATCTTAAACATTTACCATCAGTGAAAAGTAGGATAATAAATGAGGAGAACCAATTTGCAAATAAGAAGGCATGACAGGTTGAATTTTTAAAAAGTGTATGTCACAATTTTGCCTACAGCTCACTCTGAGGATATGTATTCTTTTCCTGTGGAGTTTTTACTAGAGGTATTTATTTAAGAGAGCTTTAAATTACACTAGCATCCTTCAAAATGATAGGCATTCTCTCATCAAGAGAGTATACAGAGCATATAAATACTAACAATAATTTGTTATTAGGTTGAGTTAATGCATTTTAATAAAATCTATCAAAGTTTTTGTTTTTTTTATTTGTGAGAAGAATGTCTGTGAAGCATTTGCCTTTAGCTTGCCAAAACAAATGAAAAGCATTTGTTATTTTTCTTATAAGGAAACATCAGTTCTTGTGGTTGCATACAGCTCTTCATTTGCATTGTAAGTTTATACAAAGGAAACTTTCCTTGGAGGTTAAGAATTGTCTATCGTTTAAAAAAATGAAAATGGACAGGCATTTTGTAGGTTTGTGTGGCACATGGCTTAATCTTTTAAATATGTACTCAGAGATTTTGTGGGTTAGGTTGTTTATGGACAAAGTATATCATGCCACAAAATTTAAGTCTGACTGGCACCTTAATGAAAAGATATTTGACCTCAAATTCATATGTTCATCTAAAAATGCAGTGCACTTAAAATATCACTTTAGCTCTTGGTTTTGATAATAGAAAAATGTTTGTTTTATTGGCCTCTTGCTATATAAATATTGTCAATGTTATTTTCCCTTTAAAATTCTTAACAAGAAAACCATTCATCTAATTTATACTGAAGCACTCTACAATAGGCTTAGTATATAATCATCTGATAGTACCAGAATAAATAGCTACTATGTATTCATCAGAAGTTATTATTAATCATCAGCTTCTTATAATGGCTATGCTTATGTCTTTCTAACAGCTTCACTCTGTCAGTGAAGTTACTGTGGACTGAGCTAAGAATTTCATTAAGTGCCTATTTTTTACAAGAAACACCTTTGTGAAGAATATGTAGACATAAGCACATAGGCAATATGTAACTGCCTTATTATTTCATTGCCGTAATTCTATTTTAGAGCTGGGCTTCAGATATCCATCTTTAAAATTAACCACTTTAAAGTAGCATTGAGATTTACTTCCTTTTAAAGTGCATCAAAATATCATACAAAATAAAAAAAACCTTTATCAGAATAGTAATTCTTCTTTAATTTGAGTCTTAATCTGAGTCTTAATCTTTGTCCTTTTTAGTAGTGCCTAGGACTAATTGAAGGGAAGGTTGGAAATGCCAATCAATGTATTTTACCCAGAGAAGTAATTGACAAAATGAAGATAAGATTTTTAAAATGCTTAAAAAGCCTTGTGTATATTGATGGAATAAAATTGCACAAGAAAATAGATTCAATCCATTGATTTAAGTCATAATTTCTGCTAAATCTGGAAATGCCACTCCCAAAAACACAGAATACCTACACATGTACCAAGGAGAAAAACTCTATATCCAACATCTCTCTTTGTGTACGAAAGCAAAGAGAAAGATATAATCTAACTAACCTGTTCCTCACAAAAAATATGTCTTTGCCATGGACACAAAAAAGGTTTCATTCATAAGTATGTATTTCAAAGAAGAAAATCTGGGAAAAAATAAAGTAGCAATATATTTTTAAAATAATGGTCTTACATTGATAGATAATTGATTACAAATTATAATAATGAAGTGAACATCTTTGAAGAATTCAGAGTCCGTAATAGGCAATACTACATAGGCAATGCTACAGTCATAAAGACTGCTAGTTTAGAGACTTTTCTATTAATACATAGTAGTATATATTTATGGGTATATGTGATATTTTGATGCATTCATACAATGTGTAATGATCAAGTCAGGGTATTTAGTATATTTATCACTTGAAACATTTATCATTTCTTTGTGCTGGGAAGATTTCAAAACTTCTAGCTATTTTAAAATATACAATATATGGCTGCTAAGTATAGTGAACTTGCTGTACTATCAAACACTAGAACTTATTTCCTCTCTCTAACTGTATGTTTGTACCTTTTAACCAATCCCTCTTTATCTCCCCACCCTCAACCATCCCAGCCTCTAGTAATTATTGTTCTACTCTTTAATTCCATGAAATCAACCTTTTTAGCTCCCACATATTAGTGAGAATATGTGATACTTGTCTTTCTCTGCCTGGTTTATTGCACTTACCATAATGACCCACATTGCTGCAAATGATGATTTAATTATTTTATATGGCTGAAGAGTATTCTGCTGTGTATGTATCCTACATTTTCTTTATCCATTCATCCACTGCTGAACTCTTAGGTTGATTCCATATCTTGGCTATTGTGAATAGTTCTGTGGCAAACATTTGTGTTTAAACAAGGTATTTATTCCTTTGATATTCTGATTTTATTACTATATCCTTAGTTTGATTGATGGATCTTATGGTAACTCTATTTTTGGTTTTTAGAGAAACCCTCATACTGTTTTCCATAATGGCTGTACTGATTTACATCTCTACCAAAAGTGTATCAGTTCGTTTTACTCTTCATCCTCACCAGCATTTGTTGTTTTTTGTGTTTTTTGGATAAAAACATTCTAACTAGGGTAAGATGATATCTCATTGTGGTTTTGATTTGCATTTCCCTGGCAATTGGTGATATTGAGCATTTTTTCATATGCCTCTTGGCCATTTGTATATCTTCTTTTGAGAAATGGCTATTCAGATCTTTTGCCCACTTTTTAATGGGATGATTTGTTTTCTTGTGGATTTTTTGTTTGTTTTTTTGCTAGTGAGTTGTTTGAGTTACTTGTATATTTTGGATACCAGTTTCTTGTTGGATAAATAATTTGCAAATATTTTCTCTCACTGTACTGGTTAAATCTTTACTCTGTTGATTGTTGCCTTTGCTGTACAGAAGTTTTTATATATGTTAATATAGTCCCATTTGTCTGTTTTTGGTTTTGTGCTTTGGAGCCCTTGGATACAAATTTTTGCCTGGATCAACATCTTAAAGTGTTTCCTCTGTGATTTCATCTAGAAATTTTATAATTTAAGGTATTATATTTAAATATTTAATCCATTTTGTTTTGTCTTTTGTATGTGGCAAGAGATAGAGGTCTAGTTTCATCCTTCTGGATGTAGATATCCAGTTTTCCCATGACCACTTATTAATAGGGTGTTTTTTCCCTAATGTACATACTTAACACCTTTGTCAAAAATAAGTTGGCTGTAAATATGTGTATTTATTTCTGGGTTCTCTATTCTGTTCCATTGGTCTATGTGTCCATTTTTATTCCAATCTCATGCTGTTTGGCTACTGTAGCTTTGAAGTATATTTTAAAGTCTGGCAGTGTTATGTCTCCAGATTTGTTCTTTTTAATCAATATTTCTGTGGCAATTTGGGATCTTTTTTGGTTCCATGCAAATTTTAGGATTTTTTTTCTATTTCTGTGAAGAATGTCTTTGACATTTTGAAAGGTATTGCATTTAGTTTGTACATTGATTTCGATAGTATGGTCATTTTAACAATATTAATTCTTCCAATCCATAAGAATGGAATTGGAATATCAATTTGTTTGCATCTTCTTCAGTTTCTTTCATCAGTGGTTTATAGTTTTTCTCATAGAGGTCTTTTACCACCTTGATTAAATTTATTCATAGATATTTTACTGTTTTGCAGCTATTGTAAATGGGATTGCTTTCTTGATTTCATTTTATACTAGTTCATTACTGATTTGTAGAAACACTATTGATTTTTATATGTTGATTTTGTATTCTGTAATTTTACTGAATTCACTTTTCAGTTATGAGAGTTTTTTTAGGAGAGTCTTTAGGTTTTCCACATACATGATCATGTCATTGAAACTACAATTTGACTTCCTCTTTTCCAATTTGGATGCCTTTTATTTCTTTCTCTTGCCTAATTGCTCTGGCTAGGACTTACAGTACAATGTTGAACAAGAGTGGTAGAAGAGGGCCTCTTTGCCTTGCTTCAGTTCTTAAGAAAAGACTTTCAGCTTTTCCCTATTTGGTATGATATTACCTGGGAGCTTTATTATATTCTTTCTATGCCTAATTTGTTGAGTTTTTAGCATGAAGGGATGTTAAATTTTATCAAATGTTTTTCTGCATCTATTAAGATAATCACATGGATTTTGTTTGTCCTTCTGTTAATGTGATGTATCACATTTTCATATTTGCATTTATTGAACCATCCTTGAATTCCTGGGCTAAGTCCCACTTGATCATGGTGTATTATCTTTTTGATGTGTTTTGGATTCAATTAGCTAGTAATTTAGAATTTTTATGTCTGTATTTATCATGGATATTCACCTGTAAGTTTTCTTTTTTCTTGCGTCATTGTCTGGTTTAAGTATCAGGGTAATAATGCTGATCTCAGAATGAGTTTGAAAATATCTACTCCATTTAATAGTTTAGAAGAACAAGTGTTTGGCTTCTTTATAAGTTTAAGAGAATTCAGCAGTAAAGCCATCTGCTACTGGTATTTTCTTTGCTGGGAGAATATTTATTACTGATTCAATTTCATTATGTACTATTGATCTGTTCAAATTTTTTATTTCAGTCTAGTTCAATCTTCATGAGTTACATGTATCCAGGAATTTATCATTTACTCTAGATTTTCCAAGTTTTTAGCATATAATTATTTATAATAGTCTTTGATTATCCTTTTATTTTTGTGGTATCAGTTTTAATATCTCCTTTCTCATTTCTTATTTTATGTATTTGAGTCATATCTTTTTTTTCTTGGTTGGTCTTGTTAGCAGTTTATCAATTTTCTTTATGTTTTTAAATGACACATTGTTTCTTTGATCCTTTTTAATTTGTTTAATCTCTATTCATTTAGTTCTGCTCCGATCTTTATTATTTTTCTCCTTCTACTAATTTGGAATGTGGCTTGTTCTTGTTTTTCTGGTTCCTTGAACTGTTAGGTTGTTTATTTAAAATGTTTCTACTTTTTGGCCTTAGGCATTTAACACTATAAAATTCCTTCTTAGCACTGCTTTTATTGTATCCCACAGGTTTTGGTATGTTGTGTTTCCATTTTTTGTTTTTAGAAATTCTTTTGAATCCCTTCTTAATTTTTTCATCGACCCAATAGTCATCCAGGAGCAAGTTATTTAATTTCCATGTATTTGTAGAGTTTCTAAAGTTTGTCTAGTTATTGATTTCTAGTTTTATTATGTTGTGATCTAAGAAGATACTTGGTAAAATTCACATTTAAAAAAAAAATCTGTAGCCGAACATATAGTCTATCTTAAAGAATGTTCCATGTGCTGATGAAAATTTGTATTCCATGCCAGTTGGATAAAATATCCCATAAATATCTATTAGTTACATTTGTTCTAAAGTGAAATTTAAAGTCAATGTTTCTTTGCTGATTTTCTAAGTGATCTGTCCAATGCTGAGAGTGAAATGAAGTAACCAACTACTATTGTGTTATAGTCTATGTCTCCCTTTAAATCCAAAGATATTTGCTTAAATGTTTCAGTTCTTTTTTTTTTTTTTTTTTGGTACATACATATTTAGAACTGTTTCATCCTCTTGCTAAATTGATACCTTTATCATTATATAATGAGTTTCTTTACCTCTTTTTACTGTTTTTGACTTACAGCCTGTTTTACTGATATAAATATTTCTTGTCACTTTTGGTTTCCACTTGTATAGAATGTCATTTTCTATACCTTTACTTTCAGTTACTATGTGTCTTTACACGTGAAGTGAGTTTCTTGTAGTCAGTATATAGTTGGGTCGTGTTTTCTTAAATTCATCCATTCAGCCAGTCTAAGCTTCTAATTGGGTAATTTAATCCATTTACACACAATGTTATTATTGATAGGTGAGGACTTATTCAAGTCATTTTCTTTTTTTGTTGTTTTATATATTTTTTGTTTCTTTATTTGCTCTTAGTGTTTACCATTGCAGTTTGGTGATTATCTGTAGTGGTAACATTTGAATCTCTTCTCTTTCCTATTTTTATTCTTATCCCTATTTCTCCTTACTGTCTGCTCTACCAGTAAGTTTTATACTTTCTTGCTTTTTCATAATGGTGTATATTATCTTTTATTGTAGATATAAACCTCCCTTAATCATTTCTTGTAGGGCCTATCTAGCTGTGATGAATCCCCTTATTTTTTGCTTATCTCAGACTCTTTTTCTCCTTCAATTTTGAAGGATAGCTTTTGCTGAATATAGTATTTTTGGCTGAAAGGTTTTTCTTTTATCACTTTGAATATGTCATCTCAATCTCTCCCGGCCTGTAAAGTTTCTGAGAAATCTGCTGTTATTCTGATGGGGGTACATGTGACATCCCATTTTCTCTTCTGTTTTTAGAATTATCTTTGTCATTGACTTTTTTTTAATTTCAGGATATTATAGGGGTACAAACATTTTGATTACATGTTATGACTTTGCCTCACCCAAGCCAGTTACAAGACACTTGATAGTTTGTGTCAAAAGTGCCTTGCAGAATACCCTTTTGGTTTGAATCTAAGGTTCTTTGAGCTTCCTAGATCTTGGTCTCTGTATCTCTTGCAAGAATAGGAAAGTTTTCAGCTATTATTCAGTTAAATTGATTTTCTATGCCTTTACCCACCTCATCTTCTCAAATGCTCAAAGTATGAATATTTGGTCACTTTATGACATTCCATTTATCACATAGGCTTTCTTATTTCTTTTGTAGTCTTTTTTTTTTTTTTTGTCTGACAGGGTTATATCAAAAGACCTGTCTTCAAGTTTATAAATTCTTTCTTCTGCTCTATTTAACTTGTTTTTGAAGCTCTTTCTTTGTCTTTTTTATTTTATTTATTGAATTTTTCACTTTCAGGATATCTGTTTGGTTCTTTTCTATGGCATCTATCTTTTTGGTGAATTTCTTATTTAAATCAGGAATTATTTTTCTCATCTCTTTGTATTATTTATCTGCATTCTCTTCTATCTAACTAAGCTTCTTTAATATCATTATTTTGAGTTCTTTTTCAGGCATTTCATAGATTTCTTTTTTGTTGGAATGTATTGCTGGAGAATATTGTGTTCCTTTTCTTGCTTTTTCATGTTTTTTGTGCCCTCACGTTGATTTCAACACATTTGGTGTAATAGTCACTTCTTCCAATTTTATAGATTATCTTTCATAGGGAAAGACTTTTTTCTATAGTTGTATATATAGAATTGTGTGGGCAAAGTGCTTTGAATTTGACTCTAGGTAGACACAAATAGTGTAGTCTCTGTATGATTTCATTGGCTATAATCAGTGTCAGTAGTGTTTGTGAGTTCCTCAGTGGTTTGGGTGTGGCTCTTAGTGGACACTGTGGTGAGGCTTTGCTGGGGACAAGGATGCCAGGTGGGCCATTCCTTGAGCCCCAGATGGTGGCAGTGGGCCAAGTATCCTGGTCCTTGGGGATATGGGTGACATATGTGGGCACTATTGGTTCTGGGGCCAGGCAGGCCAATCCCTGGGTCTCCAGGTAGCTTACTCAGTTGCCAGTAGTAGGCAGGTTCTCAGGCCTCTGAGTGGCATGTGTTGCATTGGCAATGTCAGTAGTAGTAGCCGGCTAAACTTTTGGCCCCCAGGCAGCACACATCAGCACCAGAGGTCATGACTGCTGGCAGGGTAAGCTAGTCCCAGGATTCTAGTTGATGTATGTGGATGGGTGCCAGCTGCAGTGCTGGCAACAGACTGGGCATGTCTAGAGTTTACAGTCACAAATGTTGGTGAGTGGGTTCGATCAATCCCTAGAAATTTGGAATATGCACACAGGCACAGAATTTTCCTCAAGTTTTTCAGTGGTGCATAGGTGCAGGCCACAGTGGACAGTGTTAATCATTTCCCAGGTACCTAGACAATGTATAAGTGTAACAGCATGCAGGATGGGCCCATATTTAGGCCCCTAGAAGGTATGTCATCAACCATTGCTGCAGGTGTGGTAGGTTGATCTCCAGGCCAATGGATGACATGCACAGGCACTGGTCGGGTCAGTACCAGGGCAGGCAAACTTAACCTCAGGGTCCCTGCTGGTGCATGTGAGAGCCAACTGTGGCAAGTAGGTGGATCAATCCCAGGACCCCAGATGGCAGAATGGTGGCAATGGTGGTGAGCAGGGTAGGAATGTCTCAGTAACCTGAAGGCATATGCAGATGCATGGCAGCCCTACTGCTGGGGGGTTCATGGTTACTGTCAGTGGCAGTGGCCCCAGGCAAGTGGCTCTCAGGTTTAAGAGAGAATGCATTTCAGCTCCTTTTGTCCCAGGGGCAGCCTCTCTGGTATACTTCATTTCTCATTCCCTGGGATGTAGGACATTATATGGGCTAGAGTACTGAAGACTTGGCTATACCATTGGTTCAGCTGGCATTGCAATGCTACAGTTCTCTGAGTGGATATGAGGGGATGTCAGCAAGACTTCAGGGATTTGGAGATGCAGAGCTGTTGGGCCCCAGGGCAGATAGAGTTAGGTGATGGCTGTACTCTCAAAAGGGTACAGTGCTGCAGCTATTTGCATCTCAGGGGATGTTTGGGACTCAGTGTGAACTCTCACTCTGGAAGAATGCCATTATGTGAAATCTAGGCACTCTCTATACTGGTCTCAGGGCCCATGAGAGCCCAGGGCTTTCTTGTGGCTAGCATTGCAGGAGGCCTCAGTGGGAATGTGGATCACTGGTGATCTCTTGCATAGTTTTTTCCCACAATGGAGAATTTCCCTTGGCATCAAGCCAATCTTGGCCTGGCCAGGTGCTTTGCATCCCTCTCCTTCTATGGCTGAGAGATTCCCTGTCACTTCTTTGCTGACCTATTCTCTCTTAGATATTCTATTCAATGTGTGATTATCTACTTACTGTTTTATTTCTTCTTTGTGGAGGAGGTGAATGCTGGATGCCTCTAGTCAGCCATCTTGAAGCCCACCTCCTACTCTCCCAGTTAGAGACATTCTAAATTTTCAAAAAAATTGAGTAAAATAAATATTTTTATATTTTAGAAGAATATTTTCATATTCTTTATAGTATTAGCACATTTGATATATAATTCTCAGTTTCCTAAACAATAGATCAATCATAATCAATAACAGACTATTTCAAAATAGGTAAATATTACATCATGATCAAAGCCTCAATATTTTGTGTTTTCAAAACGAAGCTTTCTCATTTTTATTGCACTATTTTGAAAATATTTCTACATACTTAGCAATGTACTATCAAAGAATTTGAAGTGTAATAGTCATTCAAATTTTGATTATATTACCTTCATTCCTTCATACATGTAGCATCAGCAAATGATAATTTTTAACAGTAATTCTTCAAGTTTAGTCTTATTTTCCATACGAGTCATTACTTCTCATATTATGTTCAAAATTCTCAAAGTTTTCAATTGAAATTAAGCCCCTTCTCAGAAAAAATATTATTTATTAATGGCTTCTCTAACAGTAGAAGTTTTAAAAAATTGATTTTATATCTAAAAGAAAAACAAAACAAATTTGATAAGTTTTCTTCTTCCCTGCTGTGTTTTTCTGTCAATAAAGCTATCTAGATGGCATCTTTCTAGAAAGAACATTACTACACGTGACTATACAAGCAATTTAGAGATTATTAAGAATTAGTAATCTACTTTAAAAGTGAAAGTGAAAATATCTTGAATTTGATGTACTGAAGCACTATAGGAACTAAATATGGTACAAATCATTAAAAATTTTCAACTCAAGACAAAAGTGTGGCATTATTATCAATTTCTCTTGGAGGGACAAATGTGCAGTAACAAAATTTCTTTGTCTTTCCAGAACTAAAAAGTTAAAATGGGTGAAAAGAAAATAATAAGCCTGAAAGGTGTTAGTAATGTGAAAGGCTGGAAAAAGGGTAAAGACAAGATTTTATAATAAAGGACTGAACTGAAACCACTATCACACAGTTTTTCAAAGTGACATGGTTCCATTCTCATGTCCATTCAGACCACACTCATATTACCATACATATGAGAAAACATATCCATATAACCAGAGTCCCCATTTTCTATCAAATTGCATATGTTCTCTCTTAGGAAAACTATGCTTAATTCGCACATTACTGTAGCCTCTAAAATTTTATTTAGCTTCTAAAACTTACTGTAGTTGGGTAAATGCACAGTACTTTGCAGTGCAAGACGCTCTATGAGATAAATGAGTTATTACCTCACAAACCAATGAAGCAGTGATGAGTGAGTTTTAGCCCCAGGCAAATCTGCAAACCCCTTAGTCTGATATGCAAAGAGAATAAATCATATTATACTTTCATCAAAGGACTAGGAAATCTTTAACAATGAATAGAACATTGGCAGTTTATACTGCTCATTAGGAAACAATGGCTAAAGCCCCAGCTGGAAAAGTATCAAGTTGATCAATATGACTTAGTACAATGCAGGAATAAAATGTCTTTCCAAACGAAATAAGCCATGCATGTCCTTTTAGCTAGAGGCATTCTCCCCAATCTAATGAAAGAAGGTGATAAGCATTAAACCAGGATTTAGGAAACATGTTTATTATCAAACATATATTTTTATGTTTAAATATAACTAAAATATATGCTATAAAAACTCAAAGAAGTGAGAAAATGATTAGAAACTAGCTTTTCTGTTAATTAATTTTTTATTTTAACATTTTATAAATTTATAGATAGGCAGGTTTTGCTGTAATTATTTGGATCATGTAACAGGAGACCATTAAAAAGCATTCATTTTTTTATTTACAAATAAAAAAGACTACAATGTACTCTACAGGTGAATAAAGTTAGACTAATTTTTAGATAGCTTTATGACATATTCCATAGCCTCACTCCAATATTGCCCTTGGAAAACATGCTTTCTTTACACATAATTAATTGCCTTCAAAGTAGAAGATGAACAAAATTGCAAAGAAATCCCTAGCAAAAATACATTGATGTATTGATCTGTATGACCTCTTCTATGCCTATCCTTATAGAAGCATTATAATTATCAGTATCATATACAATTTTGTGTTCTTTTTTCATTTTCCAGTTATAGACTTTTTATACTATGTTCTTACAGATATTTTATATTTTAAACATAATATATTATTTAAAAATATACTGATAATTATTAATAGTCCAGGAAATTTTTCCTCAACCCTTTTTCTCTCTCACCTATGACACATGAATATGTCATTATAATTTTTGTTTCAATTTTGCTTCCTTCATAGCTCTCTTAGATGTGCCTTCTCCTGTTTTGTTCATCCAAACCCCTATAACTCCTATGGATCTTCATTTAGGCTCACCATCATCTCTTACCTAGACTAGACTATAATAAGAGTTCTTTATTTGTTTTTGTTATATTTTGTCTCCAGTTTAGGTCGCCCCCTCAAATCTATCCCTTGCACAGCTTCTAGAGGGACATGCCTATATCGTATTACTTCTAAAATGTCACAAATAACAAATCACACCATTAATTATAAAGCACCAAGAACATGAAATACATACTGACAAACTAAAATATATTCTAATCTTCTAAAATGTTCATTCATACTTACTGAGATATTTCAACTTAGTGACTGTATTAAACATATTTTATCATAGTTCACTCTTGCATATAAAAACATATGCAGAGTGAGGCACAGTGGCTCACTCCTATAGTCACAGACATTTGGGAGGCAGAGGCAGGATGATCATTTGAAGATAGGAATTTGAGACCAGCTTAGGGAACATAATGAGACTCCATCACTACAAAAATTTTAAAAATTAGTCAGATGTGGTGGCTTGTGCCTATAGTACAAGCTACTCCAGAGGCTAAGGCAGGATGATTGCTTAAGTCCAGGAGTTCAAGACTGCAGTGAGCTATGATCGTGCTACTGCACTCCAGTCTGGGTGACAGAACAAGGCCTGGTCTCTTAAAAGATGTGTGTGTGTGTGTGTGTGTGTGTGTGTGTGTGTGTGTGTGTGTGTACACACAACTAATTGGTTACAGTATTCCTAAATAATCTTCACATTTATGATCCAATCCTTAGGAGTCACTTTTCAACTCACGGTTTTTTACTTGATGTTTTCCCACTCAATATTATCTCTGTGCCATCAAGAGCATTGGCAATGCAACGTTTAAATATTAAAATCTAAATTAAGTTTTTTAAGTGTCACTTTTAAAATGGGTGAGGAAGTACATAGTTTTTCAGCCATCTTTTATGATATAACTAAGCAAATGTCCAAACAAACACTGCTTCAGATCCAGACACTGAACCTGGAAATTAGGTTGTTTGAGTGACACAATCCTTGTCAATCCCATACCCTGGACAGGATTTCACTCTTACTTTGCCAGGTCACTCCTGGGACTCCTGTCACATGTGAATAAAAATCTCTGATTTCTGTAGGTTAGGTGGGAAAATATAATAGCTTTCCTTCATGTAAAGCATGATTAGATCCAAGAAGGAGTTTATAAACAAACTTTTATAATTTAACCCATTTATAAGTATGAGACTAGTTGGTTTGTGCATCACATGCCAACAAAAAGCCTCCATAAATGTGATTGTGCTCTCTTGTAAAATTTTGTATCACCTTTTTTGAGGAAACAAATATCATGTGTCCAACCAATTATAGATGGAAATTATACTATAAGTCAAGATGTAAGTTATTTTTGTTAAAGTGAAATATATTAACAAATTTTTATATTTCTCATATTCTAAGAGTTAAAAGTAGTATCATAATCACCAAATATTAAGTTTAACCCCTATGATGTATGGCAGTTAATTTTCTTTCTTCCATTTCTACTTTGTTAATTTCATTGATAAATAAAAATAGTATATAGAGACTATTTTAATTTGTATCTTTTCATATCAAATATATATTTATAAAAGAAACAAATAGAATAAGAGGTGCCTAGTGTCTTGGTGAATTATTAGTTAAATGTATTTTCCATAGTTAAACAAAAGCAGCATTCATTACAATCAATAATGATGAAACTAGCTCATAAAACTATGTTGCCCAGTTTTACCAAAATTGTTCATTTTTAAAAGATTTACTTTGATATATAATAGCATACATCTATAATAATTACCTTTTAAACAAATTTCTTTTTAATAGCTGATGTGGTTAAAATTAGTAAAAAATATGTTTGTGAATATCATCAGTTGGGAACTCTCCAGACATTATTTTCTCAAAAACTCTGAAATTCATTATTGAAATAAAATATGAAAATTGTTTTTCATTATAAATGCTTTGCCAATTCTTTTCCTGGCAACCTCAGGAAGACTATTAGAATTATTTAAGCATTTTGAATACGTGTTTGGCATTTTCATACCTGGGGAAGAGTTATCTTACATAGACATACAAAATAAGTTAAATGGAAAAGAATCTGGATCATAATCCAAAATATAAGTATATTGAAGGTACAATTAGTTTTGGAAATAATGAGGAGCTAGAAATTAGATTCTGAGAAGCAAAATTATATTTTATATATAAATTATATATAATTATATACAACATAAACTATGTGTAAACATTGGTAACTTAAGATATAAATATAAAATCAAGTGATAATATTTGAATATAACGTAACATTAGAAGGTTAATGTTTGATTCTGCTTTTTAGTGTAAGTTACAAAAATAGAGAAGTTGAAGGAAATTCTATTTAGAAAAAGATTACTTCAATTTTTTATGTAATCAACTTTTTATTTTTCAATAGTATAACATTCATGATTTTAAATCACAAACGTTAATGTGATAAGTGCTAGAAATTGAAAATTAATAAAATGCCGAAGTAGAAATTCCCAACAGATAAGACAATGGTTGTAGAAATACAGACTTGAAGGTGTGGGATCTGAAAATAAAAAGGCTAGCCAAATGGTAAGCAAATAAAAATAAGATGAAAGTTGAAAATTTGTTTTTTTAGTTTAGTTTAGTTTTGGTTTTTTGGGGGGTTTTTTTTGAGACAGAGCCTCACTCT